CCGGGCTCTTACCGCCTCCATGGCCGCGGCTCGTCTGGCTGCCGCCGAGCACCCGGGGGCAGCAGCAGCGGGCGGGGCCGGAGCCGGGGCCGCTTCACTTCCGCCCGGATCTACTTCAGCCGCTTCCGCCAGCAGAGGTCATGTGACCGGAAGTAGACGCGGGGAGGCACCCGGCTGATAAAATCACCCCTGCACCGTGACCTTTGACCCCCCGCGGAGCCTGAACGTTCCTTCCGGTCATGGGCGGGGGTTTCCCACGCTCGGTCTCTGCTCTGAGCCGAGCCAAGGCGGCGCTGGGCCCACGGAACTCCCCGCCACTGGACCCGGCCCTCGCCGCCCAGACCGGCCCTGAGGCGCAGGAGCCGGGCCTGGAGCTGCATTGAACCCGGGGGGGGCGGGACCCCCACAAAAAACCCACACGCGGCACGCCAGCATCACCCAGTATTGAAAATGCACTTTTATTTTTTTCCTTTAAAAACAAACTCAGAGAAGCAAACTTTGAAACTCACTCGGTGCCTCTTGGAACATCACTTCTATACAGTTCAAACGTCCATCCCGTACAAAACATGCCACAGACAGGTTCAGCTTCGCGTTTCTTAAAAAGAATAATTGTATCCCCCCCCCGCGCGTTCTTTTCTTTGTTCCGAAGGACAACCTCGCTGTACAGGATTCACACACAAAATAAACCCCCCACCCAAAGGAAGATTCCTCACAGACTCCACGCTTGCCATAGTTTCATTTTAAACTTTATTTTTTAAAAAAACCCAACAAAATAATAAATGGTTATTTCAGGATCATAAAAGGTAAAACTTAAAATAGAATATCTGCAACTGTAAACAAACAGAAGTATTGGACAAGGCTTTGAATGCGAATTTACAAGCAGAGAACTTTAAAAAAAAATCAAAGATCAGCTCTGGGACTGGATTATAGTTTATATAAAAATTAAAAACTGTATAGGTTTTCCCCCCTCCCCAGCTAAAATCTACAGGACTATTTTATACTCTAACCATAGTCTAAAAAGTCATACAACCTGCTATAGTCTGTTATTTTCTTTACTCTTGCCCAGCTTTAATCCTTTTTTTTGTAGTAATTTTTTAAAGTTTTATTTTATACACTTTACAGCCTTCCAAGTGAATGGAAAAAACAAAACAAAAGTTATACTGGCTTTTTCTCTCTCGCCCATCTTTATTTTAAAATAACATCCAGTGGTTTTATTATTGGTAAAAACGTTTTTTTCTCTCTACACAGCTCCCATTTTATTTACAGTTTTAAATTTAAATTTTGTGTATATTTTTTATTTTATTATTCCCTGCCCTCACCCCGAGTTTTAACATTTCATTTTAAACCTTTTGCAGCTTTGAATAGTTGCAGAAGCAGCTTTTTAAAAACGCGACAGTTCTTCTCTCTCACTTGAAATCTTTTGATTTAAAAACATAAAATGCCCTGGGGCCCCCTCCCCCAGATTTCACTCCCCCCAAAATAATCTCACTTCATTGAATTCCCTCTCCCGCCCCAGGAGAGGAAGGAAGTTTAATACAAAAGAGAACCCTCCTCAGCTGAGCCAGGCAGCTGTGGCATGGGAGAGCAGGTCAGGAGTTTGTTTCTGCTTCTTTCCTCACAACTGTGCCATTCCCTGTGCCATCCCCGAGGGGGTGGGGGTGTTATGCCTTTGTGCGTTAAGAGATGTCAAACGATACAGTTTAATGGAAAGGGGCGGCGAGCGCAGGACCTCCAGCCCCCTCTGGTTTACAGCAGTCTTAGAAGGTCCCTCCCACATGAGCATTCAACCATCAGCAATAGGGTGCTGTAGCAGGGGGAGGCTGGAGGGGAGAAGTGGGGCCTGGTTTGTAAAGCCACCAATCTCCTCCCCTCCCCGGGGAGCCCACGCGTGGCAGGAGGCTCCTGGACCCTGTCACGTACGGGGTTTCTATTTAACAATGGAGACAAGAGCAGGGAGTGGGGAGGATGTTTGCTCCCCCCCGCCCTCCCCACCAAGATCTCCCCTCCCCCACAGTCCAAAATCTCAGCCAAGCAGAGCACAGGAGAGAGAGCCCCCCCAAGGTTCTACTATATACAAGCTAAGGTATAAATAGATAAATACCCCCCCTACCATGCCGACATTACAGACACAGACAGCCTCCTCAGGCCAGCCTAGAGCAGCAGTTCTGGTAGTGAAAGGGGAGCTGGGTAGTGGGGGAGCAGAGTGGCTCAGGCAGGGCCCCCTGCCCCACCCCCAGACTCAGGAGTATGGCAGCAGCAGCAGCAAACTCAGCCTGTAGCGAGGCTCCCCCCCGGAGCTCAGCTCCTCCAAACCCAAACGCCTGGTCTCTCCGCCACGCTGTGCTGTGCTGGGAAGGTGGGTGGAAGCAAGGCCAGGGTCTTGGCACATTCTAATTAAAGCCCCGAACCCCCACCTCTCCTGGGCCCTGCCCCTCGGCTGGCAGCAGGGTGCCCAGCTTTGTGCAGGGTGGGGGAGTCGCCAGGAACACTCCTGTGCACCCAACCGGGCGGGGCCCACAGGTGGGGGGAGGGGATCCTGGGATATTTTATGGGCTCTCCTTCCAAGCAGAACCAGGTCAGAGCTCAAGGCTACAATCTCCCTTGGCCCCAGGCTCCGCCCACTACCACTCCTTGGGCTCCCCAGGCTCCGCCCATTGCCACTAGTTCTCATTGGGAACTAGGAAGGTTGCGCGTGGTCAGGCTCGGAGGGAGGGTCACATTGAAAACAGCAGAATCTAACACTTAAAATGAGGTAGGTTTGGGTGCAGAGGCTCCTTGTGTCCATCAGGGGGGGAGGGGGGAGCCCTTTTCTGCACGCGGCTCTCCCCAGCTCTGCTCCGGCAGCTGGTGCCTCCTTCACATGCTCACGGTGCTTTCGTTGACAGAACAAGAAATAAACCGAAGCCCAAGCGAGCTCTGGCTGTCTCCAGAGAGCCGGGCTGGGAGGTTTGGGATTGTCAAGCTCAAGGAGTCTCTTTGTTACCTTGGTAAGTTAGCGAGCAAATATTCGTTTTTTTGTTTTGTTTTTTTTAAACAAACAGACTGGATCTGAGCTCCCCGTGGGTCTGATACCTCGGCTGCCCTGCCCCGGACTCCGAGCTGGAGCACCCCGATCGCCCTACATCCGTCCAGTTATTTACAGTGAGCAAGGTGGACAGAGCAGGTTTTGTTGGTGCCACAGGCCCTGCCCTCCTCGCAAAACAAAGAAAACCCTGAGTTGCCAGTTCATCAGTTCCACTCATGGCGCTGCGGCCACCCACTCGGGAAGAGCAGCGCCCTGCCAGCAGAGGCCCAGGGCCAAGGCGCGCAGGGCTGGAGTGGCTAGGGAGAGAACCGAGGTCCCTGGTCTTTTCAATACGCCCTCCCTGTGGAAGTTAGTTGGACGGCATCCGATGGGTGTGAGCGAGGACCGGTGCCCCCTGGAGCCACCTCGCCTTTGGAACCGAAAGTGGCCCCGGCTGACCCACCTGCACCAACCTCACTTCCTGGGTTCCAGATGGGGCCGTTTCCCCTACGCCATCTCTGCTTCCCCCGCCCCCAGCATGGCAAAGGGGGAGGAGAACCCGCAGCAGAGGCCTCCTTGCAGCAGGGGCTGCCTGCGACTGGTGACCCCGTGGCGGCTAGTTCATCCATTTCCTGCAGTTCCAGGCTCCGCAGTGGCAGGGGATTTTATGCTGATCGTCTTCGAAGTCAAACTGGTAGTCGTAGGTCAGCTGGGGGCGAGAGGGGCAGAGTCACACAGCCAGCAATGCCCTGGCAGTCACGCCACCGGCTGCCAAGCCATAACACGCCTTCCGCCCCCCTCCTAGCACATCTGCGGGAGGAGGGGGCCTGGTGTAGCCCTGCCCCCTCCTGGCCCACCCAGACTCTGCTCTGATTGCGGGGCCGGTGCTCTCCCCAATGCTCTGAACAGCT